TAGATCACGGTGGCGGAGCCCCGTCTGATTAAGTCTCATACACAACATTTCTTCCCTCCGTTGCGAATTGAAATCTATGGGAAATATCGAAGTGGCGGGCGGCGTATTCTCGATGATCGACGAAGGTAGGGTGAAGGGGAATTTTCTTCACGGCGTTGTGGGCTACTTCCGGGGGTTATAAACTCTGGTTCCGGGGATGCTGAGGCAGTTGAAGGGAATGCGGGGGTGTCTCTTGCTCCAGGACTTGATGTGGCAGTTGAAGGGGATGCGGGGATGTCTCTTGCTCCAGGACTTGACGGTGTTGTTTGGGGTGTGGAGTTTCCTCCGTAAAAATGTATATGACGAGATGTGGTGTCTCGATGTTGGTCCTGCGAATGGCGTACCTCGTTTTGATGACAGGGTCGAATTTGGTCGACATGGCGTTTGAAATGTTTTCCATTATAGTCTATTGAGTAGTGAAGATCGCCTAAGCGAGAGACTATCACTCCTGAGACCCACTTGTCCATACGGGTATTTCCAGAGAGAAAATAAACTTGTTGTCCAGACTGAAATTTCCGAAAGGAGGGGTTGAATTCCATCTGTTGTTTTTGCGAAATCCTAGTGCTGACATCTTGTGGTTTCACCAGGTCGAGGCGAGTGCGCAGATTGCGTCCTAGGAACAACTTGGATGGTGATTCTCCGGTGGTCGTGTGGGGCGCTTTACGGTACTGCCGTAAAAATTCGTTCAAATTCGTTTGTAGTGAATTTCTTGTAGTTGACATCGCTCTCAAGGCATCTTTCACCGTTTGGACGTAACGTTCTGCCTGACCATTTGTAGCAGGGTGGTATGGCGCTGAAAGCTTGTGAAATGTCACTCCGCTTTTTTGTAGAAAACACTTAAATTCGGCAGCAGTGAATTGTGTACCATTATCTGAAACGATGGTTGTCGGCACTCCGTACGTAGCGAATAGCTCATCCAGAATTTGAATCGTAGCGCCTGTAGTCGATGAATTGGTGACTTTAACTTCCAGCCACTTGCTGTACGCGTCGACGATGACGAGCAGCATCGCACCTGCGACTGGACCTGCATAATCAATATGTACTCGCTCCCACGGCCCCTTTGGATACTCCCAGTGATGATCGCTGAACTTTGGCGGGGCATGTGCATGGCGTGCACATTCCACACATGATTTTGCAGTCCGTTCGATGTCCGAGTCTATGCCTGGCCAGTAGATAAAGGATCGCGCTAGGCCCTTCATTTTTACTATACCGATGTGAGCTGCGTGTAGATCATCCAAGATTGACTGTCTCAATAACGGAGGTATAACTACTCTGTGCTCAAAGAGTAAGCAGTTGGCGGCGAGTGTGTAGTTCGCTTCCGGGGCCTTGTAGCCAATACGTGCGAGATTGCGACCTGTTTCCAACTCCCGCACTATTTTGCCGAGATGAAAGTCTTTGCGTGTCTCTCTCGCTATATGTTCCGCGCGAATTGGCAGCTGTTGGATTTGGTGTAGGGCAAATCGGTCAATTCCATCTTCTTCATTACCATCTCTTCCCCCGTGAAGGGACAGTTTGTTGACTTCGTTCCGCGTTGATGGATACGGTATCCGGGAGCAGTAATCGGCATTTATATTCTGGTTTGTAGGTCTGAAGACGACGTCGAAATTGAAGTGGGCCAGATAATCTGCGTAGTTTGCCATACGGCTAATACAGAGCGTTGGAAGGGACTTCTCAGGATGCAGAATTTGTGTTAACGGCTTGTGGTCTGTAATTAAAATAAATTTACGAGCGTATAGATAATAGAAAAACTTTTTCACTGCCCAAACAATGGCGAGAGCTTCTTTATCGATCTGGGGATATCGTTGTTCAGTGGTGGACATGGTACGGCTGGCGTATGCAATCGGTCGTTCCTGTCCATTTCCAAGTCGATGTGAGAGAACTGCTCCTAAGCCTGTTTTGCTCGCATCTGTGGCTAGGATCAACGGAAGAGATGGGTCGTATTGCATCAATACTTGAGGTGAAATCAAGGTTTTTTTGATGTCCTGATATGCCTTCTCTGCATTCGGTGTCCATTTAAATGGATCTGTATGTAGCATGTCTCGCAATGGGCGCGTTCTATCGGAGAGATTAGGAATGTACGCGCTATAGTACGAAGCTTTTCCTAAAAACAACTGCAATTGCTCCGGGGTTGCTGGCTGAGGTGCATCACGAATGGCTTCGATGTGTTTGTCCGATTTATGTAAACCATGACCGTCTATTTTGTGTCCCAAGCATTCCAAGGTCGGAGTGGCGAAGACACATTTTGTCCGATTAAGTCGTACACCGTGGGTCCTCAAACGGTCCAGCGTTGCCGAGAGTCTTGATAACAACTCGTCGAATCCGTTAGCGGAAATAATTATATCGTCGAAAAAATTGATGACACCCGACAAGCCTTTAAGAATGATTTCCATGTGTTTCTGCCAGATTGCCGGGATGTTGGAAGCTCCGTAAACCGCCCTCGTTGGTCGAACCAGTCCGTGCGTTGGAGTATTCAGTGTAAGGACATTTCGGAAGTTTTCATCGATGGGAAGATGCGTGTATGCATCCGTGATATCGAGGTGGCAAAAGAGCGTAGCTCCTCTCATTTTATTAAAAAGATGTTCGATCTTCGGTATTGGGTGTTCGTCAATGATCATTCTCGGGTTAACTGTCGGTTTGTAATTACCAGTGATACGTAATTTTCCATTCTTTTTAACAACAATATGAGTAGGTGAAGCCCATTCCGAGTAATCAACCTTTTCATAGAATCCCGATGCGATTTTTGCATCGATTTCTTTAGCATATTGGTCCCGCAGCGCTAATGGAACATCGTGTGCCTTGGCAAAGATTGGAGATGCTCCAGGTTTCAAATGCACCGTCGCCGGCGGACCAATAAATTTACCCGGGACGTCACTGAAGATGTCTTTGAAACTTGTCAGAAGCTGGTTGAGACGTGCATTCTGTTCTGGGGTTATCTGCGGTTCAGAAGTCAGCGAATTAACCGGATTGGTTGAAGAGAAGAGTCGATTTAAATTTATTTCGTGGGAGAAGTGCGAAATCCATTCCCGTCCCAAGAGAGTGTCTGTGTCTCCTGAAACGACGTAGAGATTAAGTCTTCGTGTAGCGGATCCAATAGTTGCGTTTACTGGGATACGACCAAGGCAATCAATATGGTGTCCTGTGTAACTCGAAAATTGCCTATCAGTTTTCTGTAAAGAAAAGTGGGGTTTAATCTCACGTAACTTTGATACTCCAATGATACCACATGGTGCTCCCGTGTCTACTTCCATCCCGAGGTTATGGCCATCGATCTTGACATTAATAATTTGCTTACCTGGAGAGGCAATTTCGTGAATTTGACTTAATAGTTGTAGGGAATCAACTTGAGCAGATGGCATTTCCGATTGAACCTGATTGGTGGAGGAATCCTGCGGTGTAGACCTCTTTGTCCTGCATACCTTAGATATATGACCGGTCTTGTCACATTTGAAGCATTTTGCTTCGCGGAATCGACATTGGCTTCTCAGATGTTGTCCTCCGCAACCATTACACGAACCTTGAAGTTGTCCGTTGTCCAGTGGTGATGTTCGATGTCGAAACTGTCCGCTTTTTTTCGTTTTCGGCATTTCATAACCCAGTTTGTTTGTCATTTCAGGAGCGGTTGCCGGTTCGGAGGTCCTAATTTCACTTGCCGTGTTCCGGGTTGCCTCGAGTGAATGCGCGATCTCGTATGCCGCACTGAATGTAGTCGGTTTCTTAGCGATAATTTCGTCGCACATATCTCGTGATTCCAGTCCGTGGAGAAGTTGTTCAATCAACATTCTGTCCAGAAATGTGTCGTATTCACAATGCGCAGCGCCTTGTTTTAAACGTAGTGCGAAATTTGCGATAGATTCGCCTTTTTGCTGAACGATTTGTCTGAATTTCACGCTCTCAACGTATTTATTTTTAGCTTGGTCAAAATGGTTTACCAATATCGTACGTAGTTCAGTGAATTGAACGTCTTCAGGGTCACGAGGGCTTACCAGGAATTTGATGGCGTTGTTCAGCTCCGCACCCATGTGAACTCGGGCGTAATTCGCATACTGCCCTTCTGGAATTTTGCTCAACTTCAACGCCCACTCGAAGCGCTTGAAGTAGTCAGCAACCGAAGTCTCTTCCGACGAGCGATATTCGGTCATAAAAAATGTAGGTGGTTTTGGTTGAATTAATGTGCCAGCCTCGGTACCGTCTTGAGGCATCTGGAATTCCGCGGAAGCATGACCGACGGATGTCTTGAGCGCACTAACAATCATCTGAGTCAGAGCTTGCATGAGTTCAGGAGATACGTTTTCCGCCATTTTATTTGTTTGCACGGAGATTACGCTGTTGAGTCGAAGATATCCTCACATCCAGCAGGCATGGACTTCTCGTCACTCTTTTGCATATCCCACTTCTGACACCAAAATTGTTGTATTCCGGGACGCCAAATAAGAATTCACAATTAATAGCACGAGC